TGAAAGCAAAATTTCGAGATAGTTTTTGGGTTGAAAAGTAATGCCCCACTTACGACTTTTACTTTTCTCTCTTTCTCCTGCCCTTTTTTTCCCCTCTCCTTGCCTGAAGTTTCTCCTCACTTGCTGGAAATTTAGTAGGCTTCATTTTGGTGTAGAGATTTTTTAGGAAACTACTCATTATTTTCAAACCACATGCTCAGAAAGGTAGGTGGGTAATGGAACAAGATTTTCGTGCAGATTTTCAGGTCAAAGTTACATGGTTTTTTGGCTATTTCTCCAATCTCCTTCACTCAGTTGTGCTCATTCTGGTATCGTTTGTAAGATATTTTCAACCTGTTCAAGTACGTGCTCAAAGTCGTGCTCCAGGGTTAAAAGTGATGACATCACAAAGCGTAGAAAAAGTGTGTGCGTCCACGTGGGCGCATACGGGCGCACTGGACGTCATTAGGTTAACCTAGCTTGCTCGGGACCGTACTAGAAGAATATCGGCCCTCGGTCTTTTTTGTACGGACCTCAGGCCAATATTCTCCCAGTACGGCCCTCGCGCTTGGTTAATAAGATATATATACTATGTCAACACAAATGACTCCTGAAGGGGTTTCTTGCAGCAAAACATCTTTGAAATCAAAATTTCTGTTCAGCAGAATTTAACTAAAAGTCTGTCATGGGGAACTGTTAGATAGATACCCATGAGCTATCTTTTTGCTGAGAGTCTCCTGCGAATCTGGCGGATTCTTACGTACCCTTATTCTTACGTAAACTTAACAGATTTCCTTGAAATTTGGTCCAAAAACTCCAAGGATACCTTGGAAGCTAAAGAACCATGTTGTGGAATTTGGTTTTTTACAAAACGGATCTCCCACATTGGCCTCCAACGTTATGAGTATTAGTAAAAAATTTTGATCACAAAACTTGACAGATAAATTGCAACCTAAAGATCAAACTAAAACGAAATAGCTTTTGCCAAATAGTGCATTTTGTAACCTATCCATTTATATGTAGTTTATGGTGGCTATGCTTCAAATAGTGTGTTAAATCATTTGTTTTGCGAAGGACACCTGCCAAGATATACTGTATCGTTAATAAGAATTAAGAGTGACTTGCCCATTTCGAGAACTGGGAAAAAAAGCCAACTGTGCTTGTAGCACAACAAATGCAGGAGTGCCATTCGTGTTTTCTTTGTTTTGACTGTCTTCTGCCACTTTTGTGACTTCATCACTGACTTTATCCAAAGTTACAAATTTTGTAAGTCTGCCAAACGCACTTTTTTCCTTTGGAAAAATGTCATGCTCAGCAGGAGTCAAAAACAGTAAACAGAGCTTAAAGATTATGATCCAGTATGGACAAGAAATTAAACTAGAGGCAGTCTTTAGGACTTCAACATGTGCAGTGAGGTTTGTTTGAGTGATTAGTTGTTTCCATAAATGTTCCAGCCAATACCAAACAATGACAAAATAGTGCACACTTTTATTTAAATGCCACAAGGTTTTGCAGAGGTTGGTAAGGTTTTGTGATCATCATTTATTAATTTTGTTAACTTATGAACTGTTAAATTTAATAAATTTTTTAATTATCATTTATCAATTTACACACAACACCCATATGCAGAACAGAAAAACCTTGTACCTTCTTTTCTCCTGCTTAAAAAGATTCCTGCACACATTTAAGGCCCTCTCTTCCTCTCTTTTTATATTACTTTTCAGTTTGATTAGTTAAAACTGCTTAGGTTCGTCAACACCACACGTTCTAATCAGTTGGTTGAAACAAACTGGTGGAGTTATAAGGTCAATGCTATCTTGGAATATTCAGGTGAACTTACAGTCCCTAGAGAGCTGCACTATTGGATCAAAATCAATGAAGGTTGTATCACGTTTATTTGGTCTTACAGTTGAAGCTTGATTATCCAGACTCGTTGGGACTGGACAAAATAATCTGGGTAATTGAGGATCTGGATAATCAAGAATATGAATCTTAATGAGGGACAAAAGCTGATTAATTTAAGAAAGTGACATTTAATTCTGAAATGAAACATTTACAAAGTATTTTAAAAAGATATTGTCTATGTGAATGCCTGTACACATGTGTATTAACAATCAAAGTTAATGAAGAATGTTTTTACGTGGGCTTAAAATGTTGAAGTAAGCCTCAGTAATTTGTCTTAAAGAAGACTGTCGCCTTGACTTCACTTTTCAATGTTGTAGTTTTAAAAAGAACATGGCTATGGATCTTGATCATGACGAATAAATATTCATGAAAAAATTGGGACCAGAGAAAAAGTCTGGATAATTGAGAAATCCAGATAATAGAGGTTCAGATAATCAAGGTTCAGCTGTATTTGGTGCCGTGTCACTTTATTTCTGAGTAAAGCAATCGTTACAAAGTGATGTTTTTATTTACAGTGATAGGGTATTCTATTATTGAAACTGAGAGACAATGTGGACTAGAGCCCAAGCAATCAGGATGTGGTTTTCATCTTTAGCCGTTGTTGTAGTACTTTGCAGTCCAGCTGTTGGGTGAACATGGTAAACAAAATTCTGGTATAGTCCAAGTTTAATTCTCAACTTACCTCAGTCATGCTGTCCATCTTAAATACCATGTTAATTTACTTTGTATAGAATACTAGGCTTAGTTTCCTCCTAGCTAGCAAACCCATTTTACAAACTGACTAGTTTGCTATTGAGACATACCCAATGAAAGACCGACAGAAAAGAATTCACTTTTCCCAGTTTTCCACCAGGTAACTAAGTCACTGATTTACTACCAAGCTGACTCACTGATGTACAGAAAACCTGATAATAAATCTGCGTCTCCGGCTAGATATGGTCACTTTGTTTAACAGTAACCTGTTTAACCTGTTTTTTTCACGCATTCTTTTCCTCTTTCAGATACCGCAAAGAATACTGGTTTATGAGGAAAGTCAAGGGAGAAGCCGAGAATTCTCTATACGTTGGCAAGTAAAATTGCGTAATTTTTGAAGCCTCTAAATAATCTACGCCGCAAGATCCTAGGGCTATGTTGTTCAAAAAAAAAACAGTTAACCAAGCCCCGGGTAAGTGTAACTTTTTAATTTAGTCCTATAGCTCTGCGAAGGGATTTTTCTTTCGTATTTTTTCTCATTTGTTTCGATTCAGCAAAACCTTTCCTCGTTTACGCGCTCTTCTACATGAGAAATTAAAGCCAGGGTCAACTTTTAATCCTAGATCAACGTTAACGTTCTTTCGAACAACCCAGCTTAGCTGATTGTTAGTTCTCCCCTGTGGCAGCTACACATTCCGTTTGGTGTTAGATCAAGACAACTTGTATATCTGACAAGTTTTTATATTCTCATTACCTCTCTGCTGGATAATGCGAGGATAGTAGTAGGAGAAGTAACTTATTAATCACTTCTGGGAGTTAAAGAGTCAACAAGAAATCGAGGTAACTCAATAGAGGTCATCACCTTTGCATCCGCCTCCATATATATCCAGTGTGGGTTGGACGGTAAATTATTTTTAGCTAGAACTAGGATGTCTGAATTCTTCAATTGTTTTGGCTTACTCTTCTTCTTCCAGGTACCGCATAGAATTCAAAGTTTATCGGGGATGAGGAGATCAAGAGAAGTTTGGTGAGTGTAACTGATGTGCTATCGTTCGACCTCCAACATTCCTAAATTTGCATTTTCAGTGCATTTTCAGTACATTTTCAGTACATTTTCAGTGTTTTTCGATAGTTAGTCACCATCAACGAGAAGTGTTTATTGTTCCTAAAACATGTTTTGTCTTTTTTCCCTTCGTGGTGCCGCAAAAGCTATAAGTTCAGGAAGAAGGCGTAAAGGGAGAAGAGAATACTTCACATTTTCGTGAGTAAAACCGATCTGTTGTTGTTAAACCTCTTCGAAACTCTTGAATTTCCACGTTCGGAAATTTGCATCTCCAAATAGTTCCAATGTCGTCTAGCGCTTAATTAATTTGAATCGAACCAGAAGTGGCGAGTTGTCATTTATACCTTGGGTTGACTTTTCCTCTTCCAGCCCTCGCAAAGATTAGAAACAGGGCCAAGAAAGAGAACGAAAAATAAGTTTATTTGCACCCAGGGAGTTGTGAACAGGGAGGGTACATGCATTGGACTCAAGGCACTAATCACATGGTGAGAACGCTTAAATTTTACTATAATCTATAATGTATAATGTAATTCTCCATTGTTCTCGTTTCAATTTGCCTCCTCCAGAAATTTGCGCCCTCATTCTGAAGTACAATTTTCACCTTTTGAAATATTTACTGTGTTGTTAATTAATCTTAAACAGTACACTTGGTACAGATGACGGGAAAAAATTATTTATGGTATTTTTGTTGTACAGTTTCCTTCAGATTTGCAAGAGGAAGACAGAAGAAAATGAAAGGTCCAAGGAAAAATAATTTGTGAAATATTTAGTCTCGAGAGGCGAGACATTCAGGCTTCAGTTTGACCAAAATTTTTCATCGCATGAAGTCCTTATTTAACATCTTATGACCAATATCCTTGCATATGTGGAAAAGCAACAGGATGCCATAGTAGAAAATTCCCCAGCCTAGTAAGTGTCTTAATGGGGTTTACTGTCAGCAGTCAGAGGGCTTAAAATGTAATTGTCAGCCGTTAAGGACGGACCATTATTTTCCTGGGGTATGAGAAATATTGAAAAAATTGTTTGCAGGGTCTGAAAAGAAAAATAAATTGTTTGCGAACGTGATATAGGGTATAGAAAAATGTTTGCAGAGAAATCAGGTAAGATATTAAAAAAATATTATTGCCAAAACTGAAATAAAAAAAATAAAGTAACAAATTGAAGCATTAGTATAAAAATTAACACAATTTGGGCATAAAAAAGTGGTCACTGTATTAAGCAAAAACAAATCTGAAAACAGCTGAATATTTCTCGTAATACGCATGTGTTTTGAGACAGACATTTGTTTACAATTAAGATTCATTTTTAAAAATGTTTGTACCACAAAGTAGACAAGTTATTGAAAGACTTAATAAATTTCTCTGAAGGGTGGGTGTAGTAGGGGAGGTTGGTTGGAGAAAAATAACACCGTCTAAAATTATTTTAGTATTATGAGATTGTAAGAGGAAGATTATAATATTACTAGTGGTATGAATTATATATTATTGTAAAATTACTGTATTATTAGATTGTAGGAGGAAGATTGTAATACTACCAGTGTTATGTACATGTCTAATAAAAGATTGTATTGTAATACTGTATTGTATTATTAGTTGACTGTTTTAAAAGATGTACAGCACAACGTACTTACTAAAATTGACGGGTGTGGGAATTTTCCAGAGTAGATAGAAATCTATCGTAAACTGTCTAATGGAGGTGCGTTTGTTGGGGGACGGTGGACGGATCAAACCCTGGTTAAGTTTTCGGAGTACTCTGTTGTAAACTGTCTAATGGGGCGGGTTTGTTGGGGGGACGGTGAATGGATCAAACCCCAATTTTTCATTTTATTCTCTGAATTAGGGGTCGATCCGATTTAGCTTCTTTCGAAGATTGATATTTGTCTCTGGTCTCTTGCTGATTGCGTTCACACCTTGGTATCCAGCTTTGGGTGGTCGAAGAATACTGCGAAAGAAGGAAATAAAAATTAAGACCATCATGGAAAGAAAAAAAATTTTGCATACAACTTTAAAAAATTTGCGAAGCTACTTTGGCCCTTCATCTCATACAATAGCGACAACTGATCGAGGCCGTGCGAAAGAACATTTCCCATGAAGGACCTGATATAAGGTTGGCCAATCCCAGCACTCATTTGGACGCATTATAAGCAAAGTCGCGTATTACATGAACATAACTCTACTCCAGATCGGGAAAATAATAAATATGCGCTATCCACCTTGCGAGATGTCAAGATGGCTGGATATTGGCCGAGTTTTCATTTTGCGTTTTTATAGACCGAAACGAAGTCGAAGTTCCTAAAAACGCAAAAGACAAAAAAAAAAAATTAAAACGAAACAAAAAAATGAACGCGGCTAATATCCAGCCATCTTGACCGAACAAGCTTGGTTAATAAGGATTTATCATATAGCAAAATTATTACGTTTTATTAAGAATCAATAATGACTTGATCAGTTCGAGAGCCGGAAAAGAAAGACATCTGTGTATGTAGTACGATAAACTTTTCGTTGTTTTGACTTTCTTCAACCCCTTTTTGTGACTACATCGCAGACACTGTTTAGCATGTTTTTCTTACGCAGGATCAAAGTGGGCAATCCGAGCAAGCAAGATGAGCCCATCTTGCCTGCTTGAGTAGCCAATCAGAACTCAGGATTCGTTTCATATTACCCAGGGCGGCACCAGCGATATAATAATAACATTGATCGTGGGTTTACATCCTAATATATCCGAAGAAAGTGGTTCAAGGGCTTCCAACCACTCTCAAAATGTGGTGGAGTCTGCACAAGCCTAGCTCACTTTTGACGCATTGCAATGACAACTGCTACATTGTACAGAATAAAGATGAACTTACCAATCATGAGATACACTGCACTACACTTCTTCTTCACTGACCAGTGCAATCCAACATGATATCTGAACCCTGCTCCACAGACTAGGAATAATCAAGTACTCAAGGTCTTGGTCTGGAATTGAAAAGATAACTGATAAGTCAAGAGGGAGTTTAAGCAAATCAATAGGGAGTTTAAGCAAAT